TCGCCAGATCATCTTGTACTGCAGTCCCTGAGCCTTACTCTAGAACAAGCCATGGTCATATTATATTATGACAAGTCCTCAAACTACCAGTTCCCTAACACACTTTACTATAAGGGAAGGTCTCTCCATTATAAATTTTGTTACTACAGTTGTGTGTTCAGCACTACTACTGTGCTTTGTTTCCTACTATATTACACACAAGTTCACTTTTGTAAACTTAAAGACATCTGACTCAGCTCTTTGCTATAAGAGAAAATGAAATTGTTTTGACAGGTCTAGTTTATTATTTGTATATTGAATCATTTATTTCTTCCAGGCATGATAGGAGATCTTTTAAATTTAAGATGAGAGCCAAACTAGACATTTTGGTGTCCTTGTAGCCACCACAAGGGTGCCACTGCTCTTTTAAAGTGATTTAAAAATGCTCCCCCCCCCCCAAAGGTAAAGGTTCCCTTGCTTGAAAGCTAGTCGAATCTGACTCTAGGGTTGCGGTGCTTATCTCCGTTTCAAAGCCGAGGAGCCAGCGCTGTCCGAAGACATTTCCATGGTCATGTGGCCGGCATGACTAAACACCAAGGCGCATGGAACACTGTTACCTTCCCACTGAAGTGGTACCTATTTATCCACTTGCAATTTCTTGCTTTCGAACTGCTAGGTTGGCAGGAGCTGGAACTAGAGACGGGAGCTCATTCCGTCATGCGGCACACTCAGGTCTCAAACTGCTGAACTACCGACCTTCCACATCCTGCAGTTCAGCGTCTTAACCACTTGAGCCAGCGCAGTTTCCCCCCCCCCCCCCCCCCCCCATTTTGCTTCAAAATGTTAGGCTGCTGGTAGAATCCTTCATCTGGGTATACCAAGGACTTAGTAGAACTCATTTTACCTTGGGCAGGGAAAAAGTGGGCATGTGGGAAGATGGATTAGAAGGGCATAGAGCTCAAGCTGTATTTTGTGAGAAGTCTTTACAACTTTTTGGTCAGTTTACTGGTTGGTATACTGAGTTGTTACTCTGTTGTTAGTCTACGTGATATTCATAGTAGATCACATTTTTTCCTCAAATCCCAAATAGTCTGCAGAATTTCCATATGCTGTCCCACACTCCCTTGCATTACTGGGCTATTGGCTATTGCTTAGCTGTAAGGCTGCCATTTCTGGGTTGGGAAATCCCTGGATATACGGGGGTGGAGCCTGGGGAGGATGGGGTTTGGGGAGAGGATAGCACTCAGTGGGTTATAATGCTTTTGAGTCCAGTCTCCAAAGAATCCATTTTTCCCCAGGGGAACTGGTTTCTGTAGTCTGGATATTAGTTGTAATTCTGAGAGCTCTTTCAGGCTGCACATGGAGGCTGGCAGCCCTACTTGGCTGCAGTAAATGGGGAAGAGAGAAGTTGTTGAAGAAAAATAAAATTTCCTCCTCCTGAGTCTTGGCTAAGGCTCATGAGTTGTCCTCTTTTCCTCCTTTTCGAGTTCTCTTGGACTCTTCACTGAATACCTGAATGTTTCAACTCTGAAACAAAACAAGTATTTTATGCCCCTCGGTCCCTTTCTTGTCATTCTGTCAGTCTTTTCACCCTTTTTGTCTAATTCAGTGTATCCCTCATGCTGTACTTCGAAACACAATATTTTACAACTCCTCCCCTTCTCTTGCCATTTTACTGCCTTTTAAATTTCTCTTCAGGAGTGGCTGAAATTTCTGAACCATAGTCCTGCTTAGTGAGTCTTCACCAACAACGAGGGAGGCTTGAATAGAAGGCAGAGAAAAGAAGGGAAACAGTGGCCTTGTCCATAGTTTGAGTACAGCTGGAAACGCTTTTGTAGTGATCTGAAGGAGAAAATGAGGGGCACTGCTACTGAACAGACCGGAATTTCTGCATTCAGACATCGTGACAAACCACAGTTAATAAGCCAATTCACCATCATTTAGAATCCCAGTTTAGCACCAACTAACAAATCACAGTTTGTTAGGCAGCCTTAATTCAGACTAAACCAGAGTTAAATCAAACCGTGATGCATAATCATTATATTTGAATGCAACGGCTATGGGTGGGGTTTTTTTTTGGTTTTTTTTAATGAAGCCTGTTTGCTAGTAATGATTATCTAATTCAGGAATTCCTGGTAAGTTTTTCAGGACCCCATGGTCTCCCTATAACTCAGTTTGAAAGCCTTTATTTTAAACAGTTTAGATTACAAACAACTTAAATTATAAACAATTTTAAGTTGTTATGGGGTGCAAAATGTAATCTCAAAGTAAATTAAAATACACTTTTGTTTTGTACTTTAATCTTTGATACTTTTAAGCACAGCTGAAATCTCTCCCCTTTCTGCTCTGTGATATGAAAAGTCTCCTATAAAATGAGCCGGTGCTTACCCAGAGAGGAGAGAACTGTATATACGCAAAGATAACAACAAGAACTGGATTAAACTATTTTTATGGCTTTTTCTTTAATTGAGAAAGGATCACTATTACTGCTGCGGTACTGGGACAGTGGGCCTTAATTGTGTGTTTGGAACTGAGGAAACGTTTGGGATGGTATAGTAGAACATCAGCCTTTAGAGTAGTTTACACTGCAGTTATAAACAGATTTGCACCTTTCAGAGTTTTTTGAAGTCAGTGGGCTTAGAATGGTGTAACTGTTTAAAGTGGCCCAGTTAAAAGTGCACTACATTCTAACCTTATAGAGGAGGTTTGTGCAAATCCCGTCACTATCTGAATGCCTTGCCAGCATTGTTTTGTTGCTTGTGATAAGTGAAAAGTTGTGAGGATCTTTCTATTATAATAGTTATAAAAATGCCATAACAATTTGAGCAGAAAACCAGTTTCTGTAAAATAAAAGGGTCCAAGCTAAAAACAAAAGGAATCCTTTTTTAATGATCAGCTTCTAAATTGCACCCCCCTTTTTTTAGATAGTTATATTGTATATCCTTCCCCCCCCCAATGGTAAAAACAAAGAAGTTATATGGTATAGTAATTTTATTTGCTTTTTTATTTGTTCCTTATTCACTATACCCAAGCAAGCCATGCTGTTTCTGAAGGCCTTACTACACTGTGTTTCCACTGAATGAGATAGCTCATTGTTAAATAATACTTAACTAGTAAGAATATAACACTAATAATCCATCACTGTCAGTTGTCATTATTGAAGTGCTTTCCTTTCCTTTCATTCTTTCAAGCTCCTTTGATCCATAGATCTTGAGCAATGGATAAGGAATCTTTATTTTTTAAGGAAAATATGGTGGAAAGATACTTGGCCACTGGCAGCATAATCTTTGGATCACTATCCACCAACAAATAGGGGACTATATTATCTTTTGATACAGTAGAGGGTAGTTTTGTTAAAATAGGGGCGATCCGTAGTTCACAGTAGGAGTGCTTTCCTCTTCACTCAGGAATCCCCTTGTATGTGAAAATCATTTCTAGTCTTAATTTTTGTATTTGAGCAATATAGCTTTCATAGAACTAAAGAATACATCTCCATACAAATTTCTGTTTATTCAGTTTATTGTGTCTTCCTTCAATAATCTATTTTGGATTTTTAAAATTCATTAATGTTTCTCAGTCCCATTCTCTGCCTGCAGGCACCTGAAGCAACAAGCCAATCAAATATAGAAAGATCACATTAGTATAAAATGGATAAGAAGCTTCTAACTTTGAACAAAAGTGTTTGTTCTCAGTCCATTTCCTAATGTTTTGGGGTGTTTATTTTATCTGAAAGGAAAGCCTAGCACCTATTTGGCTTCCTTAAATTTCATGCATTCTATTGTTTCATCCGCACTGGAATAAGAAGTTTTGGTCGGGCTGCAGAGTTTCAATACACATTGATCCTCTTTGCCCTTTTAGTTTTGAAAGGGATTATGTACGTAGCTACTAGGTGTCATGTGGGCAGAATCAGAAGGGGCCTAACTTTACATAAATCATTTATATCGAGAGAACCGTTTAGTGTGCTGGCAACATAAATCAACAACAGTATCCATTACCATTCACCCCCCCACCACCTTTTATCAGTATTATCTTGATAGAACTGATCCTAACGCATGGGCCAAAAAAAGCTGAACCCTACCTTCGGGAAGTCTAGCCCTTTTTAATTAATTATTCTGGGCACACAGAGCTTGGCCCTTGCTATGTGGAATAATTGCGGCCAGCCAACGTTCCAGGTTTTAACTTCAGTGGCAATAATAAATAGAAAGTCTCATGTGATGCCACTATTTTAAAGTAATTAATCACCTCCACTCTTCCTTTTTCCCTCCCCCCTTCTTCCCCCCCCCCATGTTGATTTTTCCCTGTCATCCAACTAGGGAGATTCAGTCACAAATGTTTAATGATATATATATATATGTTAAGAACAACCATTAGGTAAATATTGTTTGTGTGGGTTTTTTTTTGGGGGGGGGTGTAAGGAGACCTCCAGATTGTAATTTACAAAAACCATATATATGTTGTAAATTGTGAACTTAAAATGTGCATAAAATAAATGTCTGTTTATAGGCAGCTGCTGGCTTACTAGTGGAATATCTGAAAGATCATTGCTTTATTTTTTTTTAATGTCATGCGGTACATGCGCTAATAGAGATTGTTAATTAACACCAGTGGGGCCGTCAAAAAAAAAATCTCCAAAGACGCTGTATTAGTGCCAAATGGGGGCTTTCAGAATCCTCCTCCTCTTCCAAAACAGAATGTGGCAGCTTGTTTTTCATTTGAGGTTCTTGACTGAATTAATATAAATAGTTCATTTTCGACATATAAATACATTATCTTGGACAGTAATCCTAGCTATTTGCACGTGCTTATTATTTTTTTATGCTGTTCTAAAGAGGAGGTGAATGCTCTGACCTGCCAAGAGTCAATGTTTCTTTAAATAATTCTTGTGAGACCTGACCAGCCATCATGTATATTCAGTGTGACAGGGACAGATGTGACAGATCGGTTCTGACACACTTCCATACCACAAGTCAGTGGCTTGAGGTGACTCATGTCCTTCCTTTCGATTCTGCCCCCTGCTGCAGGACAACACAACGATGCACGAATGAACCTTGCCATTGCTCTCACTGCTGCCAGGTATGGTGCTGCCACAGCCAATTACACTGAAGTGGTGTGCTTGCTGAAGAAGACAGATCCAAAGAGCGGGAAGGTCCGTGTCTGTGGAGCAAGGTGCAGGGATGTTCTCACAGGTATGTGGTCTTTGCTCTCTAAGGTATTTATAGACTCTTCTGCCTCTCTTTTGCCTCACAGGTAACCTACGTTGGCTCTCACAGGCATTTACTTTGGCTCTGCTTTGTTTTGACAAAGGCGATGTTGCCTACATTTGCTTTCTGCCATTTGGTGCATACTGAAATTATTCATTCCCCCCCCCCCCCCCCACATTCACACACAGATCACTGACTGGCTTTCCTGCCCACTTGACTAACTACGGCAGTATCCCAGCCTCTGCATTTTCTTTCCCTCTTTGCTCTCCTCTTGACAACATTCAGTCCTTTTATCCTGAATATGATTTTGCTCCAGACCAGAGAGGCTGAGAAGTTAAAATGGCCCAGGATTGGTCCTCCACCACAAGCCACCAGTGTGGAGACCACTGTTCCCTCTAAGCTGAGTTAGTGTGGGCTAGTTCACAGTTTTTTGGCCTCTGGCTCACAGATTTTGTCTTAGCTCAGGAAGGATGGCTCCAGAGCAAACCAATTTATGAAGAAGCCAAAT